ATATTTTCTTCTTATATCGACACTTCATCAAGAAATATGAGAGCAGTCAACACATTAATAGGTTCTTAAGGAAAATTAAAGAATATAAGACAACAAATCTGTCATATACGTAATGAGAAAAAATGGAGAAAAGACGATAGAGGAGATAAATATTCAAAATTAAGGTACCATTTGGGAAGGCGCTACCGAGACCGACTTCAGGCCTAAAGCGACAGCGAAGGAGACCGAAAACGGTCTCTTCACATCTGAACACATGTAACTATATAAAACACATTTGGAAAGGCGCGACAGACGACACCACTTTTAACGCGGCAATATTAGCCGCCTTGCTTCTGTCCTCTGCCTTGGTCGCGCGTTCCCAAATGGTAGCTTCAAAGTGCATGAAAGTGGTCAGCGATTAATTATCCGACAACCTTGTGGGATAAGGGGACAAACAGAAAAAGACGAAAAATTACGAAAAACTGCATAAGAAGTATCTAATAACTGGATTTATACGCAACGCATCACTCTATAGAAAATGACCAATTCTAGTTTGTAAAAAAAATTTATACTAGAAGAAGAGGAGAAAAAAATTTAAAAAAATTCATAGCAAATATCTGACAACTGGATTTGCACGCAACGCGTCACTCTGTAGATAATGACAAATTATAGTTTCTTATTGATATTTTATGCTAAACGTATTCCTAATTTAAATGAAATAAACAAGAAAACGTACGATATTTTTATTGTTTACCAACGATAACGATCTTGATTCCATAATACCTACTTGTTCGACTTCCTGAAAAGGGATTGTATTTATTACTAATTCATACAATAAATTAAATGTTTACTTGACGACAAAGCGAATAAAATAAATCAATTATTGACTTATTTAAATTGTCAACGTTTTAAATAAATACATACGAAAGTAGTCGATCGCTCCTTTTTTCCCACAGGCATATAGGTATAATTATTTATTAGCCTTCATTAATAAATTAATCATATATATCACGTTTAATTGGTGAGCGGTCGCTCGATTCAGCGACACGACACTAGACGCTCTATGAAGACGAGCCTTCATTTTTCAATTTCTTGCTATTCCGGTCTAATTAAGCCCAAACGTAATTTATGGCTGGTGAACGTATTTGAAAAAATGCTAAATGATCAAATCCCCGAGCTCTGCGCTGATTTTTTCGGTTCTACCCATCGTTTATGATCGCAGTGGCGTATCAGATGATGCGAAAAAAAAAAAGAAAAGGTGCAGTTTTGGTACATTAAGCAGTAATGTAATGTAATGAATAATGATTTACCTACTAGAAGTGCACCGGAGTATGACGAAACGTTTAACTAGCACTGTCCAATGGGTCTTGTTAACAGTGGTGTATTTCTGGGAGAAGCACATTTAAAAAAATTATATTTTTTACGAAGTATATGAAGATTTCTGGCGTAATCTAAGTTGCAGCTAAGTATAATATGTTCCCGTAATAGTTTTGGCCTCTTCCAAAAACTGTAACCTCTAATAATTAATTTATTCACACTAACACTATTTCACATCTTAGCTCTTTGGTTGCTTTTAAAAGCTGTTTTCTTTTTGTTGTTGTTAATCTGGAACCCTCAGTCAGTATGTTTGTCATTAAAGTTACCCCCGATGAACCAAAATTGCTCAGAAAGTCTAAATAATTTTTTTTTAGTCGTTAATAAACTAAATGTTTCTACTCTTCGGATTGTTCTTTAGTCTCTGGGGTATAGTGATTGACCCACGTTTCTTCTATAGTAACAAGCAAATACAAAAAGTTTGAGAAGTTGTCTTCAAAATAATGGTAAATTTCCGAAAGCACTTCTGACGATCATTCGGGCATATCGCAATCGATTTGGCCGAAAGATTATAACTGCAACAATTATATGCTGTTCAACTTATGAATGTCAAACTCCAACAAATTATTTATAAAACATCATAGTTGTAACCCTAGTAACCATATTCAAGTTTGTTAATAGACCTTTTAATCACAATGTTTTTGTGCTATAAACTGTGGCAATACATACTATTTTGCAAATTTTACAAAGCCTTGACTGCAATATCGTAAAAAATATCAAATTATCAGGCAAACTACATATTAAAACATGTTCAAAATGGGCATTATTGGTGAAAAAAATGTGGTCGAAGTGACAAAAGTTTTCGATCGTTGATGATCTTACTTATATTTGTTAACAACATTTTCATGGAGAAAGTGGTCCAACAGAAGAAAATCCTAATCCTTTAAGCTATCAAGAATTTCAACAAATTAATCAGATGTACAATTATTTATAAAAAAAACAGATTTTTGGAGTTATAACCTCTAACTTGTTTGTAGGTGGTCAAAGCAAAGAACCAGCTTTCATGTTAATTAAAATGTTTTCGCACGTACTAATAAATGGTTGGCATAATTAATATTATTTGTTTTCATTAATTTTTTACACAGTAAACAAGTATTGATACCTAACCTCTCAAACAGAACACTTTTTTCCTTGTTGCGAACGTCCATGACACTTGTACCACCTTTTTTTATTACGCATAACTATATGCTTCCACAGAGTTATAAACAAGTGAAGCACCATCGACGATTTTTTTTTATAATTGATTTGTCTATAGAGATAATATTGCTTTCCCAGCCATTGTTGGCGGCTGCGCTTGTGCTCATCACATGATTAAAAGGCCTATTATAACATTTTCCAAGATAACTAGATGTTCATGGTTTTATGAGCTTGATGTTAAATTATTAATATTCAAAACGTATCTAAACACAAATTAAATTTGATGTAAGAAAGGGCAAGATAAATTAAACTTGTGTAACTTACAAAGGATCAGGTATATTTGACAACTGTCACTAACTAAACTTGTAAACAACTAGATTTAAAATTTGTTGCAAAAATATCATCGCCTACTAGATAGGCTCAGCGGAAAGAAACCAGCCCTCATATTTATCTTTCCTACTGTTCTGTGGCTACTTAGGCCCATATTTAGGGCTGTCAGAATCCGAACTCTGCAGACGGTGCGAACAAGAAGATGAGACCATCGAGCATATCCTTTCTGATTGCTCGACGCTCTCATTTATTAGAAGTTTTGTGTTCGGCGAGTATCGGCTAACACCGGCCGATATAAGAGAAGCACCTCTTGGCGACGTTGTCAACTACATTAAATCTGTAGGCTGGCTCACGAGCTAGGAGGTGCCTATCTTCTCAGGAGTATGCACAATAGACTTAATGAGGCCTAAGTGCCGTGGGGTAACCCACCCTCCACACGTTACAGATACAGAGGCCCGTATTTATAAACAGGTGAGTCCGACTCAGCTGAAATTTTCCTAAAATTCGAGAAATTTGACAAAATGTAGAAAATTCAAATTTTTAAGAAAATGATTTAAATAAAAGTTGTTTGTGATATCATTCTCTATAATTCTTTTCCCATATATAATTTCTCTAAAATTCGAAATACTTGAAGAAGTGGAAATTTCGAATTTTGAAGACAACTCAAACACGGATAAATAGAAAAAAACAAATTTTAAATTTATTCTTTAATCCATTCTGCGGTAAAATAATTAAATTGTTGGGTATAGTGGGAAAATCTGGAGGGAACTTTATAGAAGGTCGTTTTTCTACTTTATGGAATATATCTGTTATTTACGCTTGGAGAAGAAATTTCTTTGAATAAAAGTTGCTTGTAATAATATTCTATATAATTTTTGTCTTATACATAATTTTATTAAAATGGTCCGTATTCGAGAAATTTGACAAAAGTACAAAATTCTAATTTTTAAGAAAATTGTTAAACTAAAACTTGTTTTCGATATCGATCTCTATAATGTTTGTTTCGTACATGATTTCTCGTATTGGAAAAATTTGAGGAAAAATGTAAAATTTTATTTTTTCAATATTTTAGTTGGCAATGAATATGTATAAAACAATGTTTCGAGTAAGATATATGTGGAAAATGAATATATTTAGATCATCCTCTAACATTTGCAGGGGTGATACAATAGGTTGTACAGAATAACCGGAAAAAGGATGTAATAACTGAACACATCAGATTTTTTATGATAGTCGCCTAAAAAACTTTTTTATTATTAATTTTACGGAAAAAGTTATTATTTACAAAAATTTCTATATGGTTTAAAATCTAAAATGCAACCACTAGATATGAATTGATATATCTTCATTCTAGTTACTATTTGGAATTTTTTTTTTTTTAATCTAAAGATGTAATTTTTTTAATAGTTTCTGCAAATCTTGAACTTCATTTTCCTCTTTTTTCCAATTTTCTAGATTTTCTTGATTATTTATGCTAATCTCAGATATCTTAGAAAGCGCATTAAAATTTATGTTCTATTGTTTAATAATTTATTTTCCGCAAACATGTAAGTACTTTTCCTCCTTGTATATATGAATTTTTCATGTCTACGTCCGTGAGCGCGATGAATCGCAGGATCAATCCATCAAAATGTAACGACGCGACAGTTAACGAGCATACGTATTTCCGTCTCACTCTAACAAGTAACAACACTATCGGGCCTATTGGACATTTCGAACTCTGTCTGGCTCGTTTTGTAAATTATCCCGGCACAGAGTTTCGTGTTCTGATCTCTTCGCGTGTGTCGCCCATCCATATTTTCGCGCAATTACACCTGCGATATTATGCACGTTCCTGAGCGATAAGTCACTTTCTGAGTCCGCCAGCTGGGATCAAAGCTCCGTTTCGTCAGTCGGCGTAGCCTTTTCCGCGATAGGTACACGTGCCCGCCTTGTTTGTCCCATTCAACCCAAACAAAGGGACTCTCGCTACAGCCATTCATATTGATTTTCCGTGATAAAGTGCTACATAAAAAACTTGTTGATATCCCTCGCTCTCTCGCAAGCAAGCCCAGTTCCCGTATTCGCGGTTCAATTTTAAAATAATCGTGCCGAAAATGCCTCTCTACGCGAGTGCTGATAAAAAATCCATTTACCCAAGTGAGTGCAGCTAGACCTGTTTTTTTGCTGTTGTTGTTATTATGGAATTATCGGAAGAGCCCTTGAATCTCACGCTGAAGAAAATGCCTATCGCTATAGTGACCCCTTTTTCCGTCGTCGAAACCAATCAGCCAATCAAAACAAACAACAACGAAATCACTACCGCTGATTTAAACAAATGCGAAGACTTGCCCGAAGATTTATCTTTGAAAAAAATTAACGAAGAAGGTTTGGATTTAACGAAAAACAACAACCACACCGAACAACTAAGGAAGTATCTGTGTAAGAACGAAGAAACCAGAAATTCGTACGAAAAAAACACATTTAACGACTATTACAACAATAAATTATCTCATCGAGACAATACGCAGACTATTTTTAACAATTTAGACAATAATAATTTTATATCGATGTGGTACATGAATTCCATCATGAACCAACAAAATCCTTTTTTCAATTCTCATCATCAACATCAGCAGCAACAGCAGCAGCAGCAGCAGCAGCATCATCAGGGTTATCAAACGAAGCCCAACACTAACCCTAAATCCAATAAAATTTTAAATAATCTCTTGGACAAGAAAACTACTTACTCCTCGTACAAATTTCCTTCTGGGTTTGATGCTCTGATAAAAAATGAAGTGCAAAGTGATAGTGACGACAAGGAATCAACTACAGGGTGAGCAATTTTTTCTTTTCAAATCACACCATTTTTTTATCAGCCAAATGCTGCAAAAATTAGTTTTAGAGGTAAGATAAAATCCTATAAGTAATTAGAAAATTTTTTGAAAAAAGTTGTATGTGTACTTCTATTTGTAGTAATGAATCAAAAAATGTTTATATATTTATATTCTAAACAAAATTTAAATTTACAATATTGCCTCAAATTCTCATTCATCAATAAATAACATTTCTGTTGAAACGTAACTTCTGATTTAAAAATTACCTATTATCGTATACATAATAGAGCGATCTTTTTCTAACTTAATAGCATTCGATTTTTCATTCATTCTCAATAGGGTGTTGTGGTTGATTCAAAACAAAGGCGGGATAGGTTCTGTATATAGTTTTTTTTTGTTTGGTGTACCTTACTATACCGTGTAACTCTAGTTTTCCGTAAAAAAAGATATCAAATTGATTACGAAAGATAAGGATTTAAACTTTTCTGTGGGAGACACTTAACAGAGGTTGCTTGAAAAAATATCCTAGATAATCCTATAGTTACTCCTAAATCCTGTTAAAATACAGCTTCTGATTAAAAAAAAAAGTTTAGAAACGTACACATACAGCTACCTCTTTCTTACTCAATACAATTAGTTTTGAATGTTTCATCGTAAATATATTGTGAAAACAATATAATAGAAGAAAGGGGAACAGTCACTATGTAACCAAACCAGCTTTAGGATGTTCAAAAGATGAAATGGATCAAAATTAGAAGAAGAACAAACGGATTTCAGACTAGGAAGGTAGACAAATGACCTTGAGAAGATTATTGGAAAAAACAATAGAAGGGGAAGAAATATACATAGCATCGACGTTTTTTCATCAATTTAATCAATTCTATTGACAACGCAAGACGAGAATATGAATCGTTATTCGTAATAATCTTAAGAGACTGTCTCTTCTCCCCACGTTGGGCGCCCAAAATGTAACGTACGTTAAAACCGTAACGCCAGAACACACATTACATGGGTCCACAATTGCCTTAGCGAATTTTCTGCGGATAGCTCAAGTCGGAGGAGGTGTAGTCTGATCATTAAAATAATCTTTATAGGGTCGCCAAAATAATTTGCCACGAATTACACCCCTGATGCAAATCAGCCACCTAATTAACAAAATGGACAAGTTAGTCTGATTTTCTCGAGTAGAATATGTGCTAAACTGATCTGCTGATGGGGTGTGTACTATTCAGCACTCGATAAGCCAAGTGCACGGTGGCACACACACTGTAGTTACAATGGCACAGGGACATACTGTTCCATAGCTTTCCCAGCAATCCAGAAACAACAGATACTAGCAAGAGCTTCGGCAACTCCACACAGAAGACCATACAAATTTAAATAAAATAAACACTAGTTCATGATAAACTAATCCCTAGTATTTAATTAATATAAATGCCACGTTTCAATATTAAAATCCCAATCTCAAATCATCACTAGCTCGCTGCAACAAATGTTGGTACTAAAATAACATGAAACTTTGAAAATAAACAATTAAAAACATATGTACATATACCACTAATTCATATTAGGGCTTTCATACAACACCCAGCTAAAAGACAATCCTTTCATAACCTGGGAGCAAAATATACTCGTCAAACAAGAAACACCAGGTTATAAAAATAACTTTTTGAATAATCCCAGAACAGTTGGCACCAGTTTAAAAAAAAATATCAGAAAATTCCAAACCCAATGTCTTTCGAAACTTTGGACCTTGTTCCAGATAACCCCATAAAAAACTACATGTCATCGCAAAACCATCAACAAGTGACAAACGAGGCTATGTGCGAAATGCATAAGCTTAAAACACCGAACGTGTTCAGAAAGACAATCCAAAAGAACCACCAAGTACATTAACAAATTGCAAGATTGCCATGGTAAGCAACAATAGGTCTAGTGTCAAAGATTGGTTTCTGATCGTTGTTGTAACAAATCTAAATCTGGCGAACAAATCACCAAACGAACGCTTTAGATTCACTCACAAAAATTAGGCCTAACTGCCCGAAAAACATCTAACCAAGGCAATTGATCGCCTCTCGCGTAAGGCCTAACCGCAAAGTTAATAGTGCCTACTCGTTATCAGCACTGCAACTTAACAACGATTTTCGACGGTACAAGAATTAATCCGCCTCCTTTAAAAATCTAATGGAATTTTATGTAACAATGATAAGAAATCTTACCAGTCATTTTCTCCAAGAGTTTTCTTTAGAACGGTGTCCAAACAGCTAGCTTCCTATGTAAAGTTGACTTCTCATCTGCAACTCTTCATGAATATATCATTAAAATTCAGTCGAACTCCTGGAATTGACAATATATCCGCGATGTTTTTAAAAGAAACTGCATCTTATTTGACTTTTCCCCTATCCTTTATTATGTCATCTCACAAACTCTTTCATTGTGAAATATTGCTTTTTAAAAGGGGTGAAAGTGAAAAGCCTAAAATAATGGAATCCATCCTAACCTGTGCCTGACTCTTTCAAGAGATACGATGTTTTACTAAAAGAACTGCATGTTTTTTATTAAAGTCCGTTCCACATTAACAAACTTAATGATCTATTTAAACGACCAAACTTCCTCTGTGGACAACAAAGTGTCTATCGATATTGTATGTAGCAATAGTTTTGACCGTGTTCCTAAAAAGAGACTGCTTTTTAAGTTGTATAGAGTTGGCATTCACGGCTCTCTCCGTCTCTAGATAAGTCACTTTTATCAAATCGCATATTAAAAATCAAAGTTCATCTCAGGATGGATTAAAATTTAATTTTAATTTTTAAGTTTAAAATTTTGTTTTTTTTTTTATTTTCGTGGATACAGACGTGAAAAGGTCAAAACGGTCGAAAGATACGTCAGAAACTCTAGGTCGAACAAAAATCATGATTTATATACTTTTCGTACTGGTTACTGAACAAAAATAACTATTTATATTAATCGTACCGTACTTTTATTGGTGATATTAGCATTAACTGCTAATATGTTTGCTACATTGTATCTGACTTGTATCCAACTGTATATAGCAGTGTCCCTGGAAGTAATGTCTAATAAAATTGAATATAATGTTTAACTATTACTTAGTACTAACTTCTGTTCCGATTGTGTAATTCAATCTAACTAATTATGCAATTTAGTTTGATTGAACTGGTTATTTGCCTCCGACACAATTGACCTTATAAGCAAAGCACCAATTATGCATTTGTGTGTGTGGGCTTTCCTTACGTTTTCACAAACAACCGATTCTAGGAAAAAATAATCGTTTACGAGAATTATTTTTGCAGGGCATGCATCAAATCATCGTTAGGAATGGAATTATTATCGAAGTAGATTAATTCCGTGTGAATGCGCGAATATTTTACGTAGGCTAAATGGGTTGTTACTTTCAGAACCGTTTTAATCAACACAAGAGATATTAAAATGGCAGAACATATTGTTATCATGTAGGTGAATTATTTGGAAAAAAATCGAGAAGGTTGATTTAGAGCGTCGAAGTTATATTTTATAAAGCGGGAGACAGAATGAAATCACCATGAAGACGTATGTCGTCTAATGCGTCCAAAAATAAGCCTAATACGGCGATCTCATACATATTAATTCCAGCATTAACTGGTCTAAACATCGCACAGTATTTATAATTTTGGAAAGAAGTTACTTATGACACATTTTTCTTCATGCGTTTTTCATAATGGTCACTTAGGTACCTGAAAGTTTTAAAACTTGTTGCAATTTGCAATACAAAGTAATTATATTTAGCCAGTTTAGTCAATTTAGTCCCTTATCTGACTTCAAAAAGTGAGATGTCGTGTTTTTTGCTTGGTATTTGTACATGGGGGGAGGGAGGATGAACAACATGTACTATGTACGGTTATGCTACTTTCAGTGTAAGTGTATGAATGTTCCTACATCGATAGTAGCAAAACCAGACGACAGAAAATGCTTACAAAGGGATTTTTTATTGTTACAGACAAGCAAATTATTTCATTAACAGCAAAAAACGAAAAACTCCTTCGATAAGAAACATTATTATGAATTTGACAGGTGATATATAATGGTAGCAATTTCCAATCTGTCTATTATATGGCTTTCTTTCATACCATTTGGAAATCTTACGTTGTTTTCCTAATATTTTTAGGTAATTGTTTGGACTGCTTCAGACCACTACTGTTTATACAATCTACCTCTCTTTCCAATTCCGGCCAATATGTCTGTTACAATAGGTACTGTTTTGAAATCAATTCTATTGGATTGGTGTCTATACTGTTTAGCTAGCACATCAGCTACATATATTTTTGGTGGCTTGTTACTAAAAAAATAAAATAAATTAAAAAATATAGAAAAAATAGATTTCCATTACTCACCATATAACAAATTCAGCTTTAAACATGATGACTGAATAAGCTATGTTCTGATTCGTCAACCACTCTTGAATTTGATTCTTTATTCAATTAAATTACTATTTGGTGTTTTATGTGCCAGTGTTCTATTATATGAAGCATTGTCCTGTACAACTAAAAAATGTTCGTTATTCATCTGACCATCATAATCACATTGATTACTTTTTGAAGCAAATATAGCTTCAGCATCTATGAATCCATTTTCGTTTCCAGCATGAAGAATTATATATCTGTAAAAAAATGAAGTTAACATGTGTGTCCCAAAATTCCGTGTACATAGAGTTACTGTATCTTGGTGAGATCAAAATAAGTAGATTGAGCCAAAATTATCTATATCATAAAGTGCTCAGTTTGACGGGCTTCAAAGTTGAAAGAAATTTTTTTATTTTCTCTTTAATAACTCAAAAACTTCGATTTTTGTAAAATCATGAAATCATGGAAGGATAAAAACCCCCTAATCATAAGTATCATTGGATTTGTTTTTTTAGTACCGCGCCGGCCCCTTAATTTTTGTTATGGAAAGGTACATTCATTAGTAGCTTTTTTGTCTGTTGCAGAAAACATGTATCTCTCTT